AACCTTTAGGTTCTGGCTCCTACCATTCTGGGGAGCGACAGTCCGGTTCCTTTCCCCCGGCAAGTCAATAATATATACATAAGAAACTCACGCACGCTCCTCCCCACTAAGGCTGGGAGGCCCGAGTAGACGGCATTGATTACTTCCATAAGGAAGGATGTACCATCCCTCACTCCTGCTTAAGTAAGCCTGAGCTTTGACTACTTTCTTCATCGATATGATCCCAGTTAGACTCCTCTCAGTATTGTAACTGCCAGATAATTGTGTTCTAACTAGAGTCGTCTGGGACCCCTCCCAAAATCTCCGACACCCCAAACCCTATTTGCATTGTTCTTGCCGAAACCTTAAACCCCGAACCCTAAACCCTCAGCTGTAATGCTGCCATGATTTTGATGCAGTATCTCAGGGAATCCGACCCATTATACTTGCTCACATTGCTCCATATTCTCAAACCAATGAAAGACTACTCTGGATCCTTCGATTGTTGCTATCTTACCCTTAGCCAGCGTAACCCGTTGGAATGTTTTGAATGTCTCCCGGGCTTTGTCCGGGTTTTGTTGGGCTTGCCTTCTTGCCCTTTGCCATTGTGCCGTGATATCCGTTTCTAACAGGTTGTGTAGAACTTTCTTGGCCTCCAATTTGTGCATTTGCCCCCTTCCTATTGTCATCTGACATCTTCTTTTCCATATGGTCCATAATGTATATTGTCTCAAAAGTTGAAATGCTCGTTTTTGTCCCAATTGCCATTTCTTTGGAAGTTCCACACCGGTGAGGAGGATCCTCCTGTCTTCCGGAAAGACCTCATCTGAAATCTTTCGCCACAGTTCCCTGGCTACTTCCCACACATAGACCGCCTCTTGCAGCAGGCAGTGAAGCAGGGTTTCCGTCTCTTCATCCTTACACACATTGCACTTCTGGTTGATCTGATCCCTCTGATTGTGGCCTCTGCGCTCATACAACCAAACGTTGACAGGGACCGCTACGTGGAAAATCAGCCATTGTAGACTTTTGACCCTGCCTAACCTTATAGTATTCAATGCTGACCACGGAAGACTAGAGACTTGCGCCTTGGGTACTTCCAACCTCCATTCCCATCGAGTAGCCAGTGATTCTGCCAGCAGGTTAGACCTCCTGAGCCTCTACCCCAATTTGGTTGTATATTGAAGTATGTTTACTCTTCTGGCAACCCGCAGAAAACCTCCCTTGAGATTCCATGCCCATTCTGCCGGGTCTACTTCTTTTCTTTTTTTTTTTTTCTTTTTTTTTTTCTTTTTTTTTTTGACAAAGCAGGGCCTTATGGTCCTGGCTCCTTCTATTCTGGGGAGCGTCAGTCCGGTTCCTATTCCACCGGCAAGTCAAGATGATCATTACATCAAGATAAAACTCACACACGCTTCCTTCCGTCGGCCGAAGGATCCCTGAACAGCATTGATTGCTCCACTTTGGTGGAGGATTGACTGTCAGCTTGCCTTGTCCCTCTCTTTCCTCTCAGACCTAAGGTTCCGATCTGCCAGATAACACTGTTATTCCTAGAAAGAGCTCCTCCGCTACCCTTGCCAGTCTGTTTCGCCCCCTTGCATCTCTCTTTCTAATTCATATTCATATGAAAATTGAAAATTTAGACTGTGTAAGAAGTACTAAGAACAGATCTGAGATCTGGTCAGGACCAGATCTAAGACGGGATCTCAGATCTGACCAAAA